GGTTAAGGGAACAGAGCATGGTTTAATAAAAATAAATCCCACGTTTTCATCAGCATTTGCCAAACCTTTATTACTGGGAAAGCCGCTTTCTTCTTTGCCATACTTACTGTGTTCCCATTATAATTATTAATGGTCTTTATTCCTACTTGTGCATAGGGAGAGGCAGGCGACATTGCTGCTGACGGTTTTTAAGACAATGCTCCACCCTCATCTTGCACCCCCGTTTCACATTGGAGAAACTGTAGCCGTTTTCACTCAAGCCTTATTATTGGCCAAATGAACCATTGTAGTTTCCCACAGAAAGGGCACGTGGGCACGACTATTTGTCACCATAATGTCATTTCCCCTGTTCAGGCCATGAACACACAAGGTTAGTACTCACTAACTCCCTCCACCCAAGTTTTTTTCACCTTCCCCCCCCAAAAAAAAAAGTTTTCCAATTTTAAGACAACTACTTGGTTAAGAAGTGGTTTGCACTGAAAATTAATATAGAGTAATATCTCTGGAATAAACTATTTAAAAGTTACCTAATTTACTCTCACTATTACCTCACAGGAACATAGGCATAGATGACATTTTACAGTTGTTACACAGCCACCCAACCACGCAGAGGCCCTGTTTCTATCCTCTTTAAAAATTCCAAGGCAGATCATCTATCAGAATGGCTTTAATAGCCTTTTTGACATTTTCAAACATCAAAAATGCCCACATTTTATGACTGTGGAAATACTGTACTTAAAATCAGGAGTTCAATAAAATGAATCAAAGAAATGTTCTCATTACTCAGGCTTTGATTTTATATATTCTATTCTAATGTTGACTTTTGCTCATTTAACAAAAATAATAAGCATATATTTCAAAGCATATCTAGCATTTTTTGTCATAAAAAACAAGATTATAAATGTAATCATCCTTGTCCCCAAAATGGCCTCTATAGAGTTCTTTAATCATGTTTAAATGACTACACATAAATGTTTTTCTATTTATATCAGAAGAATTTCAGTAAGAGATAACATTTCTTTCTGAAAGCAATTCACAAGTTGATATATATATATAAAGTATATAAAGTAACTACTGTTACATATAACAATAACTACTGTCATTTTGACACACAAATCTTTTGAGATTACATACTACCAATCTTGCCTCTTTTGCATCGTCTATTAAGGGATGTTTAGTAGAGGCGTCTATTCTAATAGCTGTTCTGACGAGCTCTGACCACTCCCCAGGCCCTGTGCTGACGCATCCCTTGGAGGTGGATATGTTGGCCCCATTGTACAGGTGAGGAAATTAAGATTGTGAAAGGGTCCCCTGTGCAGGTAGCTCTGAACCCCCACTGAATAGTGCCTCTTCATAAAGCACAGCAAGTACAGTTCCAATTTCTATATGTCAATCATTTAGGGCTAGAAAGAATTTATGTACAGCAAAATACAAAGAATCCAGAGAAGACTTGAGGCTCTTTCCCATCTCACTACACACTAGAGTATTTATGTGAGATGAGTATCTATGCATAAGGTATCTCACTGTTTCTGTGTAGAGTCCCAGTGCACAGCCCAAGTGATGCTCGGGCATTTCCTCATACACCTGGGTTCTGCATTAGTCTGGACGATTGAATTGATGACAGTGATGTGGTGCCCAGCAGAACTGTCTGCATCTGAGCCTGCAGGAAGAAAGTGCTGAGAACGGGGGTCACTTTTGTGTTTTTTATTTTTTTAACTTTTTTTTTTTTTCTAAGAGAGAGAGACAGCGTGAGCAGGGGAGAGTCAGAGAGATAGGGAGACACAGAATCTGAAGCAGCTCCAGGCTCTGAGCTGTCAGCACAGAGTCCGACGCGGGGCTCGAATCCACGAACCGAACTGTGAGATCATGACCTGAGCCGAAGTTGGCCGCCCAATCGACTGAGCCACCCAGACGCCCCAGGGGGTCGCTATTGTTAAGCCTGAGACAGGTGAGCCAGGAAGTGCTGCAGCCCCTATGGAAAAACCCACTGGTTCCCTTCTGTTCATTCAACGAAGGATCATTACACAGCTCTTAAACTGTCTTAAACTCCAGCCCAGGACATTATTTCCTCCCCTGCAGGGAGCATTGTATAGCAATCTACATCAACTTAGATATCAGGATAGGCTGAACCACAAATTAGTTTTCTATTCATTGGCCATACCTAGGGTTTGAAGCTATTTTTATAAAAGTCGACAGTAGAGCAGTGCACAAAAGATGATTCTCTGCTGTGGATTTAAGAGGGTAAGAATTGGAGAGGGAAGTCACTGTTGGTAAAGAATTCTTAAACATTATGCAAATGCTTTACCTTGTGAGCTCTCAAGTGGGGTGGAACAGGGAAGCGATGTGTGAATGTCATCTACAGGTGAGGTGCTGCAAGAAGACGGACAGTGGGGAGAGGGAGGAGGGACAGCTGACAAACGCCTCTGTAGTTTATGCTTACGTGTGTACCTGGGGGTGGCTGCGGGTGTGCCCAGGAGCAGGTTCCAGGAGGCGTGTCTGTGAGTTGTTTGTTGATGTGGACTCTCCCTATGCCTAAACTAGTGAGTTCTTAACTCTTAGGGTCACCACTTAATTGTTTGTAACTAAATACATAGTTAGAGCACGCTACAGTTAGCCTCTTTGCAAACACATACCTTTGGCCACCAGAAGGCTGGGGAGGGATAAGCAGAAGGCGGAATCCCCTGGGGCTGTCACTACGTGGCACTTACTCCCGGCATGGCACGTTGGGCCTGCCCCATGCGGCTGCTTGGCACCTCTTCTGTTCTGCTACACGGTTTGCTTGGTTTAAATATATATATTTGGGGGGGGGAGGAAGAGACAGAGAATTTAGCAGAAGAGGGGCAGAGAGAGAGGGAGACACAGAGTCTGAAGCAGGCTCCTATCTCTGAGCTGTCAGCACAGAGCCCAATGTGGAGCCTGAATCCATGAACTGCAAGATCATGACCTGAGCAGAAGTCAAACGCTCAACTGACCTAGCCACCCAGGTGCCCCCTAAATCAGGCTCTGCACTCACAGCATGGGGCCAACTTGGGATTTCTCTCTCCCTCTCTCTCTGCCCCTCCCTGGCTTGCTCTCTCTCCCCCTACCCCTCCCCAGCTCTCTCTCTTTCTCTCTCTCTCAAAAATAAACATTTTTAAAAATTAAAGAGGATAGCTCTTTAGTAATGTGTTCTAGACTTTTTCAGGGAATGAGCATCTTCCACCTGGACATTTGTAAACTTGGAGATTTGCTCTTCTTTCCGCTCTCTTGTGGAGTCCCCTTCCTTCGCAAAAGGCCCACTTCCCGCCTGGCTCTCTGAGGCAGCAGCTGGCTCCCTAAGGGAGACTCTCTATGCCTTCCCTGTCAGAATCGCAGCCTATGCCCTCTGCCTGACCCACACTCAAACTGTCCACTATCAAAACACTGTACTGTGCCTCCTTATTCCAGAAACATTGCATTGCACAAATACAGGTTTTAAGATGTTCTGCTAAGAACTGAAGAGGATATAAAAAAAAAAATCCTGTCCCTCAAATAACTGACAGACTGGTTTCTCAGGTCTTGAAGGTGATAGGCTTACTATTTCTGAAAAACTCACACTCAGAACTAAAGACTGAATGTGTTACCCTCCCAGAGACATTTGCTTTGTAAAAGACTTATAAAATAAAGTTGTTGATAAATGGCTTAAAATTTTTCCAGTGAGAGTCTTGATGTAGGTAACGCTAATAAGGTAAACAGAAGCCAACAAAAAGAAAATGGTCGAACTGACAACTCTACTTCAAGTGCAAGCTTTCTATAAGTTGCACACTGAAGTAAAAACAATGAGTTTGAGCCCCATGTTGGGTGTAGAATTTACTTAAAAAAGAAAACAAAGGAGGCTAGCTCAGTTGGCAGAGCACGTGACTCTTAATCTCGGGGTTGTAAGTTTCAAGTCCTCTGTCGATCTTACTTAAGAAAAATAATAACCATATGTTTGCACATTTAGGTGGATTAGGAGGAACTTAATGGGACCATGAGGAAGAAGAAGGGGAAAAACAGGAGAGGAAGAGAGGAGACCATGAGAGACTCTTGAATGCTGAGAACAAACTGAGGGCTGATGGGGTGGGGGAGGGGGAAGGAGGGGGATGGGCACGGAGGAGGGCGCTTGTGGGGATGAGCACTGGGTGTTATATGGAAACCAACTTGACAATAAAGTAAGGAAATAAATAAATGAATAAAATAAAAATTTTAAAGAAAAATAATAATAATTTAAAAATAAATAAGCTTAAATAACCTCGAAGGAAAAAAAACACAATGATAATTCTAATGAGGGTAGCCAAGAAGTCAGTAATAAAAACTGCGAATCATCTAAGAAAACCATTTCAAATCTGGCTTTATATATACACTGCTCTTAATGATAAACTGCACACTATGTGTCGCCTTGATATATTAGCTAATATATACATGAAGATGTCATTACTGATACTATTTAAAATTAAGGTACTTTATATTTATCTTTAATTTTTATTCAAATGTTTTAGCATACCTCATGTATTAGCACTATAGGACCTGTACATCATTAATTAATATACATACATTGCAGTCTGTGCACAAAACTTTTTTACTGGTAATGGTATGAGATCACAAGATATTAAGAGAACACAGGTTTAGACCATGGAAAATCTACTGGGTTCATAAACTCTTGAAGATGACAATTGTCCCTTCCCCCAACGTTCCCCTATCCCTATACTTAGTAGGCCTTCAAAATGTGTCCCAGAATGCTTCTGCCAGCATCAAAATAATTAAAAATAGCTTCTAAAGAATCAAAGTCCAGTTCTAAACAGTGGAAGGCAGACCGCGGGCTCACCTGTCTTCTTTTTAACTCACATTTGAATAACCTGCTAAGCCTACTGGGTGAGTTAGCGGCGTGCCTGCTTGGCACAGCCTCCTTTTCTGTTCAAACCAGGAACCACCTGAACTGGATCTGCTGGCCTGTCACTAAAAAGAAGAGCTTGATACCTAGTGAGCTAACACAGAAGTCCATGGTGCTCACTTCCACAGCACTTACGCTAAAATCGGAACGATACAGAGGCGACTGGCACGGTCCCGACGTAAAGATAACACACAAATTCATGAAGCGTTCCTTGCTTTTAAAAACAAAAAATAGAAGTCCATGTATCGAGCAAAACTTCTCCAAGTTTAAATGGATACAACTAAATAACTCCACCCAATGCTTCCAATAACTTGGGGGTTAATGCTGTTGTCTACAGCAACACTGTAAGGCCCTAAATAAAATCACATCCACCTCAAGGGCCAGGTTTTGATGTAATAATGGTTAAGCATAAGTTGGTAATATTTACAGACTAAAATTGACTCATTCATGTTAAAAGCAAAGAACTCTAGGGGCGCCTGGGTGGCTTAGTCGGTTAAGCGTCCGACTTTCGCTCAGGTCATGATCTCGCGGTTCGTGGGTTCGAGCCCCGCGTCGGGCTCTGTGCTGACTGCCAGCTCAGAGCCTGGAGCCTGTTTCGGAGTCTGTGACTCCCTCTCTCTCTCTGACCCTCCCTTGCTCACGCTGTCTCTCTCTCTGTCTCCTAGAAATAAATAAAAACATTAAAAAAAAAAAAAAAGCAAAGAACTCTAGAGTCTGTGCCAAATATTTAACTAAGAGCTTCAACAAATTGTAAGCTTTTATTGAAAAAATTGACTGTCTCCATTGGCACTCTGATAATGGGCTTCTATTTAGGCTAAAATAGATTTACAAAGCAGAACGTTTATTTAAATGCCTACAATTTGGAATCTAAAGCATGTGAATATTAACAACTAAGATAATAGTATTTCACTTAGCTTATCAAAAAGTTAAGAAAAGTTAAGAAACTTTTACTTTTATACCCAACCTTAGTAGTCAAGAAACTTCTCTTCCATCATTCCATAAATTTTCCTATTATTGCATAATGAGCAATAGTACAAACAGCACTAAAGTTCACAGAACACATTCTGATAAATGCTGCTCCATACCAAATTGTTCACTGCTTTTACCTGAACTGTCTAACATCATTATGTTTTCCTTTTGTTTTGACTTCCAGATCGTTAAACCTCTTTCTTTTAAACTCTCAAGAGGTCATTTACTTGAGGTGACCAGCATATATGTCTCTTTATTCTTTCTGATGTTTTAAAGACTTTTTCTGTCTGCGAAATTAATGAATGTTTATTGTAGAAAAGATAGTTTAAAAATATTAAAAATAAAATATAATTCTACAATTTCAGCAGTAAGAGATAATCACTTAAAATTTTGTTATATTTGTTTCCAATCTTGTTTTTATCATATACATATTAGAAATAAATTTTATATAACCTTATAGGCTGCTTTTTCCACTGACCATTAATATTGAACATTTCCCTCATGACAAGTAAATATATCTTCAAAACATGATCTCCACTAGCTACATAATACAAATATACTTTCACTGATTGAATTTTGAGACACTTAATTTTTTCCTTTTGACTATTATAAATTTTAATATAATAGGTATAAAATTTTTAAAAGTCATTGCCAAATCACTTTCCAAAAACTTTTGCAAATCTACACCTCTACCAGCAATGGATGAGAATATCTAACTCAGCACTCTCACCCGTATTGAATAATACAGATTTGTTTGTTTGTTTTAACTTCTCCGATTTAGTAGGTAAAAAATAGCACTTCATTCTAATTTGTATACACTTGGTTGCTAATTAAATTATACATGTCTTCATTTGTTAATATCCAATTTGCATTCCTTCTGTGCTCATTATCTTTTTCCTATATTGAATGCTTATGTTGATTTCATTGAATTTAAAGGAATTATTTAGATATGAATAATTTTATGGGATGTCTGGGTGGCTCTGTCTGTTGGGTTTCTGCCTTCGTCCAGGTCATGATCTCATGGATTGTGAGTTCAAGCCCCCTTGAGATGTCAGCACAGAGCCTGGAGTTTGCTTCGAATTCTGTGTCTCTCTCTCTGCCTCTCCCCACGTGTGCTTGGTCTCTCTCCTTCAAAAATAAATAAACATTAAAATAAAATAGGTTTGAATAATTTTAATACTTCTCTTTTATTATTGTGAATATATTTTCATTAGTTTGGCATTAGAATTTTGTTAAGTTTTATAGACAAATCTGTGGATGTTCCCTTTTGGGGTTTCTTCCATTGTTTATACCATCCTTCCCTGTCCTAGATTAGCTATATTTCCTGAGTTTTTGTTCCTTCAGTTGTATACGATATAAGTTAGGAATCAAATTTAATTTTTTACATATAATATCAATTCTCTACTAAATTGTAAGACCTCTACTACCTTACATGTATTTGTTTTCTATTCCATTAATTTATTTTTGATCTTTTCTATTTTTATTTGTCTTTTTGATTCAGTATAACCCTGTAATGGGTACCAGAAGTTTATGATAATTTCTTACACCCAATAGTTCAAGTTGTTTTCCTTAAAAAATTTTTCAGAAATATTTTAGCTATTCTTGCATCATTTATTCCTTCATATGAATTTTAAGAACAATTTGTGACATTCTACCAAATATTTTCTTGGGATTTTTGTTTAAATTGCACTAGATCTCAAGAGCAGTTTGTGTAGAATTTATGTCTCTTTGGTATTGACCTTTACAACTATGAAATTTGGCCTATTTCTCTATTTTTTAAAAGATTTTCCTCAGCTTTCAATCTTTATAATTAAATTGCATGAAGTTCTTCTACATTTTTGTTCATTTTAATTTGAAATATCTTGTAGTTTGTTGCTATTATCTTTTATCTGCATTTTCTAGTTAGAAACTATAGTTTCTACATTTTCTTTTTTCCCCCTTAAATAGTTTATTGTCGAGTTGGTTTCCATATAACACCCAATGCTCATGCCAACAAGTGCCCTCCTCCATGCCCATCAACCCCCTTTCCCTCTCCCCCACCCCCATCAGCCCTCAGTTTGTTCTCAGCATTCAAGAGTCTCTCATGGTTTGCCTCCCTCCCTCTCCTCAAATATTTTTCCCCTTCTTCTCCCCCATGGTCATCTGTTAAGTTCCTCCTAATCCACCTATATCTGCAAACATATGGTATCTGTCCTTCTCTGCTTGACTTATTTCGCTCAGCATAACACCCTCAAGTTCCATCCATGTTGCTACAAATGGCCATTTCATTCTTTCTCATTGCCATGTAGCATTCCATTGTGTAGATAAACCACATCTTGATCTGTTCATCAGTGGATGGACATTTAGGCTCTTTCCATGTTTTAGCTATTGTTGACAGTGCTGCTATGAACATTGGGGACCATGTGCTCCTATGCATCAGCAATCCTGTATCCCTTGGGTAAATTCCTAGCAGTGCTATTGCTGGGTCATAGGGGAGTTCTATTGTTAGTTTCCTGAGGATCCTCCACACTGTTTTCCAGAGGGGCTGCACCAGTGTACATTCCCACCAACAGTGTAGGAGGGTGCCCGTTTCTCCACATCCTCGCCAGCATCTAGAGTCTCCTGATTTGTTCATTTTAGCTGCTCTGTCCGGTGTGAGGTGGTATCTCAGTGTGGTTTTGATTTCTATTTCCCTGATGATGAGGGACGCTGAGCATCATTTCATGTCTGTTGGCCATGTGGATGTCCTCTTTGGAGAGTGTCTGTTCATATCTTCTGCCCATTTCTTCACTGGATTATTTGTTTTTCGGGTGTGAAGTTTGGGGAGTTCCTTATAGATTTTGAATACTAGCCCTATATCTGATATGTCATCTGCAACTATCTTTTCCCATTCCGTCAGTTGCCTATTAGTTTTAGTGATTGTTTCCTTTGCCGTGCAGAAGCTTTTTATCTTGATGAGGTCCCAGTAGTTCATTTTTGCTCTTGATTCCCTTGACTTTGGGGATGTGTCGAGTAAGAAATTGCTGCGGTGGAGGTCAAGGAGGTCGTTTCCTGCTTTCTCCTCTAGGGTTTTGATGGTTTCCTTTCTCACATTCAGGTCCTATATCCATTTTGAGTTTATTTCTGTGTATGGTGTGAGAAAATGATCTAGTTTCATTCTTCTGCATGTAGTTGTCCAGTTCTCTGAACACCATCTGTTAAAGAGGCTGTCTTTTTTCCATTGGATACTCTTTCCCACTTTGTCAAAGATTAGTTGGCCATACATTTGTGAGTCCAATTCTGAGTTCTCTATTCTATTCCATTGGTCTATTTGTCTGTTTTTGTGCCATAGTTTCTACATTTTCTAAGTTGCTGCATAAAAATGTTATTCATTTTTTAAAACCAATTTCATTAAAGTATAACTTACATAAAATAACAAATACACATTTTAAGTATACATTTAGATGAGTTTTGAGAAACATATACAGTCATGCAGCCAACACCTCAGTCATGATGCAAAATGTTTCCATTACCCCACATGGTTCCCATTTTCTACTCACAACCTCAAGCACCACAGATACACTGATCAGCTTTGTAGCACTATGGATCACATTTGTATTTCCTAGAATTTGTACAAATGGAATGATACAGCATATACTCTTTTATGTCTGACTTCCTTTGTTCAGTATAATGTTTTTAAAAGCATTTTGGATTGTGTGTATCAGTGGTTAATTTCTTTACATTGCTTGCACTATATATCCATTCACCTCTTGACACTTAGATTGTTTAGATTGTTTTCAATTTGGGGCTATTTTAAATAAAGCTGCCATGAACATTCGTGTACAAGTCTTTTGTGAATATACATTTTCATTTCTCTTGACTAAATAATGATAATGTATGCTTAACTTTCACAAAAAGCCACCAAACTGTTTTCCAAACCAGTAGTGCTATGTTATGTCTCCATCTATAATGCATTCAGTTGCCCCACATTGCTGCTAACAGTGATTTGAATCTTTAGTAATTTGGTAATTGGATCTTTCAGCAAATTCATCAGTTGCATTTAAGTTTTCAAAATTATTGAGTTTTAATATGTATTATCCTTTAATGTCTCTAGGATCGGGGCGCCTGGGTGGCTTAGTCGATTAAGCGTCCAACTTTCGCTTAGGTCATGATCTCGCGGTTCGTGGGTTCAAGCCCCGCGTCGGGCTCTGTGCTGACTGCCAGCTCAGAGCCTGGAGCCTGTTTCAATCTGTGACTCCCTCTCTGTCTGACCCCCCCCCCCCCGCTCACTC